GAATTCTGAATTTCTGAATTTTTGAATTTCTGAATTTCTGAATTTCTGAATTTCTGAATTTCTGAATTTCTGAATTTCTGAATTTCTGAATTTCTGAATTTCTGAATTTCTGAATTTCTGAATTTCTGAATTTCTGAATTTCTGAATTTCTGAATTTCTGAATTTCTGAATTTCTGAATTTCTGAATTTCTGAATTTCTGAATTTCTGAATTTCTGAATTTCTGAATTTCTGAATTTCCGAACTTCTGAATTTCTGAATTTCTGAATTTCTGAATTTCTGAATTTCTGAATTTCTGAATTTCTGAATTTCTGAATTTCCGAACTTCTGAATTTCCGAACTTCTGAATTTCTGAATTTCTGAATTTCCGAACTTCTGAATTTCCGAACTTCTGAATTTCTGAATTTCTGAATTTCTTAATTTCTGAATTTCTGAACTTCTGAATTTCCGAACTTCTGAATTTCTGAATTTCTGAATTTCTGAATTTCTGAATTTCTGAATTTCTGAATTTCTGAATTTCTGAATTTCTGAATTTCTGAATTTCTGAATTTCTGAATTTCTGAATTTCTGAATTTCTGAATTTCTGAATTTCTGAATTTCTGAATTTCTGAATTTCCGAACTTCTGAATTTCTGAATTTCTGAATTTCTGAATTTCTGAATTTCTGAATTTCTGAATTTCTGAATTTCTGAATTTCCGAACTTCTGAATTTCCGAACTTCTGAATTTCTGAATTTCTGAATTTCCGAACTTCTGAATTTCCGAACTTCTGAATTTCTGAATTTCTGAATTTCTTAATTTCTGAATTTCTGAACTTCTGAATTTCCGAACTTCTGAATTTCTGAATTTCTGAATTTCTGAATTTCTGAATTTCTGAATTTCTGAATTTCTGAATTTCTGAATTTCTGAATTTCTGAATTTCTGAATTTCTGAATTTCTGAATTTCTGAATTTCTGAATTTCTGAATTTCTGAATTTCTGAATTTCTGAATTTCCGAACTTCTGAATTTCTGAATTTCTGAATTTCTGAATTTCTGAATTTCTGAATTTCTGAATTTCTGAATTTCTGAATTTCCGAACTTCTGAATTTCCGAACTTCTGAATTTCTGAATTTCTGAATTTCTGAATTTTTGAATTTCTGAATTTCTGAATTTCTGAATTTCTGAATTTCTGAATTTCTGAATTTCTGAATTTCTGAATTTCTGAATTTTTGAATTTCTGAATTTCTGAATTTCTGAATTTCTGAATTTCTGAATTTCTGAATTTCTGAATTTCTGAATTTCTGAATTTCTGAATTTCTGAATTTCTGAATTTCTGAATTTCTGAATTTCTGAATTTCTGAATTTCTGAATTTCTGAATTTCTGAATTTCTGAATTTCTGAATTTCTGAATTTCTGAATTTCTGAATTTCTGAATTCCCGAACTTCTGAATTTCCGAACTTCTGAATTTCTGAATTTCTGAATTTCTTAATTTCTGAATTTCTGAACTTCTGAATTTCCGAACTTCTGAATTTCTGAATTTCTGAATTTCTGAATTTCTGAATTTCTGAATTTCTGAATTTCTGAATTTCTGAATTTCTGAATTTCTGAATTTCTGAATTTCTGAATTTCTGAATTTCTGAATTTCTGAATTTCTGAACTTCTGAATTTCCGAACTTCTGAATTTCTGAATTTCTGAATTTCTGAATTTCTGAATTTCTGAATTTCTGAATTTCTGAATTTCTGAATTTCTGAATTTCTGAATTTCTGAATTTCTGAATTTCTGAATTTCTGAATTTCTGAATTTCTGAATTTCTGAATTTCTGAATTTCTGAATTTCCGAACTTCTGAATTTCTGAATTTCTGAATTTCTGAATTTCTGAATTTCTGAATTTCTGAATTTCTGAATTTCTGAATTTCCGAACTTCTGAATTTCCGAACTTCTGAATTTCTGAATTTCTGAATTTCTGAATTTTTGAATTTCTGAATTTCTGAATTTCTGAATTTCTGAATTTCTGAATTTCTGAATTTCTGAATTTCTGAATTTCTGAATTTCTGAATTTCTGAATTTTTGAATTTCTGAATTTCTGAATTTCTGAATTTCTGAATTTCTGAATTTCTGAATTTCTGAATTTCTGAATTTCTGAATTCACCAAAGCGTGAAGTTCCAAATCTCACCTAAATCAATTTCCAGCAACTCCAACATCAAAAAGACGACATTCTCATGTACATGTCCTTCCACCTGACACCACAAACCTGCTTCGAGAAATACTACCGACATACCGTATTCTATTCCGATGAAGAAAATGCGAGATTCTACAATCGGTTCACATCAGCAAGATACCTGATCGAAGAAGTTCAACGACAAAGAAACGTCGACGAACTATTCGCAAAGTACCGTCCAAAGCAAATCACCCGACGAGATATGATCGATGCCCTTATATTCCGTTATAATAACCCATACGACAAAACGACACCAGAGGACAGTGTCCAGGATGATCACACATTCCTTATGGACGCTCTTCTGGACTCGAAGCATCAGACAAGAACGGGATATAACATGTTAAAGAGGGAGATGGTGGATCCTGTCAAATTGATCAAAGAGGTTATGGCTGAAAGAGAGGAAACTCGTGAGAGAAAGCGACAAGATGCTTTACAAAGGCTTATGGGGACTGAAGTGACTCAAATAAAATACGGGGTTCCTCGTGAAAACGTCAGTGGACCACATACGGTTAAACACATTCCAAATCCAGCATTGCTTCAGCTTCACAGAGCCGAGGCACCACAGACACTTACCGATTTGATGACTGGCCCAGATGCTCATCTGTTTCAAGTAGGGGACCGAGAGGATTCAGTTCTTCCCGTACCCCATGAGGAGTTTCCATCGATAATTCGAAGATTGGCGAATGATGCCGACCATCTGCAGAAGGATGTGCATAGTTTGATCTCGCAGAGAAATATCTATAATGAATACGTGAGGGATCCCATGATGATGTCCTTGACTAAAACGTTGCTGACACCACCCTTCAACTTCCAACCCGTGGAAAAGCCGCCGTCACCGCCGTCGCCGCCGCTGACGCCTGCGGTGATCGAAAGGAGAAACAAAGTGAGAGCGAGACAGTTGCGGAGAGCCCAAGAAAAGGAGGATGAGAGGGTCAAGAGACATATGGAGTCGATAATCACTGTGATGCAGAATGAAGGGTCAGATGAGGATGATGGGGAACTGGAGGAGATGAGTATTGATGATGTGGTTGGACCAGGAGGGATTGATCATGAGAAGGACTTGGAGGAGGATGAGCAAATGGAGGTGGATGAGAAGGAAGAAGTGAGTTTTTTTTGGTTTAGGAGCTAGATTTAGCTAGCTCAGGCAAAGTTAAATAAGTCTGACGAGCAACGGCATTGTTGCCAACTTGTGGTTAGCTTAGAAGCGCCAGAGTAAGCAGGACAATCTAATCTATCTTGAGCTAGCTAGCTCGGCCATAATTTAGGATATATCAAGCCAGCTAAGATACTTTAATAGTCAACGACTAAGATAGGCTAGTTCAGGCTACCAAAGGATTGCTCAGACAGAGATTAACTAGTTGAGCTCTAAGTAAGCTATCTCAGGACATCTAATTGTAACGCTAAGTTAGTCCAGCTTAGGATGGCTCAAACTGAAACAGACTAGGTTAGTTCAGACAACATCAAGTCAGTTCATGATAAGCTAGCAGTCCAGCTTAGGTTGGCTCACGTTAGCTCAGGATACTTCAGGCTGTCAGCATAGCTCAAGATGGCTTAAACTAGGATAGACTAGTTCAGACAAGCTATAACTAGCTAAACCCAAAGCAGGCTAGCTCAGGTTGAATAAAAAGTCTAGTTTAGGCTAGCTCAGAAAAATTCAGGCTAGATCAGGATAGTGCCGGCTCACTTCGGCAAGCTAAGTCTATCTAATTCTAGCTAAGTCCAGCTAAATCTAGCTCAGAGCTAGCTCAGACAGAAGAATCGCCAATGTTTTTTTCCAGGAATCCGCCCCCAATGAACCCCCACCAAAGATCCCAGAAGAGCCCGCCGAACCCTTTGTAGTTCCAGCCGGTGCAACCAGTGCGTGGCAATCCTACTCTAACCCAACGGTTAACCACATGCCCGGATCCTCAGATCCATCTGTAAACGCTTTTCTGAGCGTGATGCAACAGTCAGCGCCACCAACTCAGCTTTTCGCTGTCAACGAGAGAGGAGGATTTGCTCCGGCAAGAAATTCGTTGGCACCTTTGGGCAAATTCAAGGATCCCAAATCGCATTCGGCACTTCGAGCGGCACAAAAGGCTAGAGAGCAGGAAGCAAGAGAGGCCGAGTGGTTGGCGATGAAGAAGGAGAATTAGGAAACATCCGAAAAATCTCCAAAAGTCCTCATTCCTCAATTCTTATGCTTCCAAAAAATCCCCCAATTACCCTTAAATCTGTAATAAAAGGACCCCTAACATTGACCCAATTTATCTTGGTTTCTGTTAAAGATATGAAAAAGATGTTAACTGATAAATTGTTTATCATAATATCAGAAACATTTTATCAGCTGACATATTTTTGATATCTTTGATAGGAGCAGTGATAATTGAGCTCAAAGTTGACAGTGTGTCAAAATTTCGAATGTTCCTTACTTCCCAATTTTTTAACTATTCAAAAACGTCATTTTCTTGTTAATTTCCAGCTGAAACCCTGCCCAATTCTGACATTTATTCATTTGAATTTTTAGATTTTTAGATTCTAATGATTCTCAAAAATTTTGAAGATTCTCTAATTCTTATTAAAATTCCAAATTCCTTAAAAAAATCTCCAATTTCTTCCCTGTTGAATTGTTTGAATATCTTGTTTTGTGAAATTTGAAATTCTTTGTTTTATTTAAAAAATGTATAATTATCAACTATGCCTAAAAGTTCTAATAAAGAAAAAAACAAATGAAAAGCATTAAAAATGGGAAGAGTAAGAGAAAAATTGTGGAAAACGTTGGTTTTGATGGGTTGGATGCTGAAAATGACAGATTTTGAGATTAGGGAAACCTTGAAATTCAAAAAAAATTCCAGAATTTTAAAGCTTCAAAATATAAGAATTAAAGAATACCAGCATATCAGAATTTCTGAATTTTAAAATATCAGAATTCCAGAAGTTCAGAATTTAAATTTCTGAATTTCTGAATTTCTGAAATTCTGAATTTCTGAATTTCTAAATTTTGGAATTAAAGAATTCCAGAATATCAGAATTTCTGAATCTCAGAATCTCAGAATCCCAAAATTTCAGAATCCCAAAATTTCAGAATTCCAAAATTTCGGAATCCTAGAGTTTCAGAACTGCGAAATTTCGGTATCCCAGAATTTCAAAAGCCCAGAATTTCAGAAGTTTTGAATCTCAGAATTTCAGAATCCCGAAATTTCAGAATTTCAGAAACTGCGAAATTCGGATAGTCTAACTTTCTATTTTTCTGGATTTTTTTTGGATTTTTCAAGTCACATGTTCTATGCTCAAAATTGCTCGAATTCCCTACTTTTAGACTTTTCTTGATCCAAAATTTCCAGAATTTTCAATGAATCACCTCCAAACTTATCCCGAATAGTGACAACTGCTTGAAATCCGAAATTATCGATATCTTCCATTGGAGAAGACTTGAATCTAATAGTTAGGTATTGAAATTGGCTAGTGTAGTAGCATAAATCGTCTCCGGAACACCTAAAATTTTTTTTCTAGTCTGGAAAAGGCCAAATTTAGACTCACCTATAGTTCTCCGTCTTGTTTTCTAATAATTTTTGGCTCCAATAGTCGTAGAAAACAATTTCATCCATGTTTTTCCGTAAATCCAAATTGTCGGCACTGAATTGGATCTGAAAATTTTACTTTGAAAATCTGAAACTAGAATTTTCAGAAATTCAGAAATTCTCGAAACTCAGAAATTCAGAAATTCAGAAATTCTCGAAATACAAAAACTCAGAAATTCAGAAATTCAGAAATTCAGAAATTCAGAAATTCAGAAATTCAGAAACTGAAAAATTCAGAAATTCAGAAATTCAGAAATTCCGAAATTCAGAAATTCAGAAATTCAGAAATTCAGAAATTCAAAAATTCAAAAATTCAGAAATTAAGAAATTCAGAAATTCTCGAAATTCAGAAATTCAGAAATTCTCGAAACTCAAAAATTCAGAAATTCAGAAAATCCGAAATTCAGAAATTCTCGAAACTCAAATATTCAGAAATTCAGAAATTCAGAAATTCGGAAATTCAGAAATTCAGAAATTCAGAAATTCAGTAATTCAGAAATTCAGAAATTCAGAAATTCAGAAATTCATAAATTCTCGAAATTCAGAAATTCAGAAATTCAGAAATTCAGAAATTCAGACATTCATAAATTCTCGAAATTCAAAAATTTAGAATTTTTAGGGATTTTTAAATTTTGGGTATCTGTATATCAGAAACTCTGAAAATCTGAAAAACTGAAATTCTGAAAGTTTCAGAGAATCAAAAGCTTCCAGAAAATTTGGACAGATCTTGAAAAATCCGGAATTTCCAAAAAATTCAAAAATAAAAAATTCTTACCCTTGAGCTATTACTGGGTGCCACAATGTGCCATTTACAATCCATTTTCGGACAGTATGGATCTGGATAATTTGGGCTGGAAATCAGACGAAAATCACCAATATTGTGCATCAAAATGATGCGATCCAAACATTCGCAATTGGATTTTGCTGGAATTTTTTTTCTTAAAAATCGTTACCTATCAAGTTTGATCATTTTTATCTCGGTGCCTATGAAAGATATCAAAAATGTTACAACTGATAAAATATTCATCATAATATCCCAAACAACTTAAATCAAAACCGAAATGAATTGACTCAAAGTTAAACGTGAGGGGGTCCTTCTATTACAGGAATTTTTGGGAATTTAAAAAAAGGGGTTTCACCTACCTACGAAACGCTGAAAATAACAGACAAATACATTGAAAATATTCTTAGGAGCATCTCAAAAAATATATCGCTATCTAAACAGAAATATAATAGACTTCCCGGCAAAAAAAATTTCCAAAAAAAAAGTTTTTGGGTCGAAAATATGATTACGGGTTTTGGGAGGATGTATAAATTTCTTCTCTCTTTTTTGGGACTTTAAAAAGAAGGTGATATAAAAGAATAACTTTTTGAATAGATAGGGATTAGAGGTTTTGAGAAAAAGCTTTGGAGGAGAGAGCACTAATCCCCTTTAATCCGGAGAAATGGATTACGTATCATGTGAATAATAGCGGAATGCTAGGGAATAAAAATTTGAGAGATTTTTAAATTTTCTGGGATTTTTTCATTAAAAAAAAAGTTTTGGCAAAATTGAAAAAAAAACAGAAACATGTAAGTAATTATATTGCTTCTTTAAATAGTTTTCAGTTTTTCTGCGTATTGTTATATTAAATTTTCAATTTTCGAAGAATTCCCGAAATTTTGTATTTTCGAAGTTTTGAGTTTCAGAATTTCAGATTTTTGGAACTTCTGAATGTCCGAAATTTCAAATTTTTGAGATTTTGTGTTTTTTTTAAAGAATTTTTGAATTTCCGAATCTTTTAACTTCCGAAATTTCGAAAATTCGAACCTCTGATTCTATAAATTTTGAAACTTTGAAATTATTCTGAATTTCAGAATTTTTGAACTTCTGAATATCTGAATTTCTGAATTTTCGAATTTCTGAATTCCTGAATTTTCGAATTTCTAAATTTCTGAATTTCTGAATTTCTGAATTTCTGAATTTCTGAATTTTTGAACTTCTGAATATCTGAATTTCTGAATTTTCGAATTTCTGAATTTTTGAACTTCTGAATATCTGAATTTCTGAATTTTCGAATTTCTGAATTTTCGAATTTCTGAATTCCTGAATTTTCGAATTTCTAAATTTCTGAATTTCTGAATTTCTGAATTTCTGAATTTCTGAATTTTTGAACTTCTGAATATCTGAATTTCTGAATTTTCGAATTTCTGAATTTTCGAATTTCTGAATTCCTGAATTTCTAAAATTAAATTTTTAAAAATTCAACCGTGTTCGAATTTTGGATTCCAGATGATTTTAGAATCCCATTTTTTTCTTCTTGTATCAAAAAAGTTGCCTTATCCAGTCACAAGACACTTTAACCCATCTGTTGCTATCTCTATTTTTTCCCAAATTTTCAAATTCCTCTTCCGATGCTATCTTCTCCATCTCCATCTCCAAATCAACAACACATCACTCGAAAAAGAAAATTCGGACGGTCACTGGTGTCTTCTAATTGCCAAGGAAGTAATAGTAGTCACAACCCAGAATTCATCTTTCCGTTTTGGAAAAATTTGTCAAGGTCAATTTCGGTCAGTTTCCCGAATTTCAAGTGAGCGACAGAAAAGACTGAACGAGAAAAACAACACAACGGATAGAACCGAAGAACCAATAATAAAAACCAGTTCATTAGAGAGTACAGGGAAACCGGAGACGTAGAATTTTCCAAAAAAATTAGTTGGAGAGGAAGGGGGAGTGTCCTTGATAGCTAAACGAGGCTAACGGCCAGAAACTTCCGTATAAAAGTGACCGGCAAAAAATCATCATAGTGCCTTATTTCTTATTTTCCAAATATTCGATTCCTAATTTTCCAAATTTTTCAGATGGAGGAGAAACAAGAGTACCTCCGGAAGGAGTCCGAAATCGGAACCCTCCGTTCTGTGGCCCTTGGAGCCGTCGCCATCACCGCGTTCTCTCTTGGAACCTCGATCTTGCTCCTTCCACTTCTCTTCAGTCATGCTCAGACCGTTCAGTCCAGTTTGGAGCACGAGTTGCAGTTCTGTGTCTTGAGGTCTCATGATTTGTGGGATGAGCTTAACAAGGTGAGCGTTTCGGAAGCTTTGAATCGCGGTTCTAACAAGGTTCAGTTGAGTTCAGCTAAGCCTAGAGGACTAGAGAGCTAAGCCTAGAAGATCATCATTTATGAGAATTTAAAATTCCAGATCGAGTCCTTCACCGGAAAACAATCCCGTATCAAGAGACAATACATGACCGGACCAGTCGGAGGTGGTGGTTATGGAGGTGGCGGACATGGAGGATACGCCCAAGGTGGAGGTTACGGAGGACACCAAGGAGGTGGATACGGAGGACATCAAGGATACGCCCAACGCCCAGTCCCACAACCAGCTCCAGTTTATCGCCCAGCCGCGCCAGTCTACCAACCACAACCACAAACCCAATCATCCATCTGCATTTTCGGGCCACCAGGACCACCAGGATTCCCAGGAGCCGATGGACAGCCAGGACGTGATGGAGAGGCTGGAGCACCAGGACAGCCAGGAAGAGATGGAGGAAGCTCATACGGAGCACCACCGGCCAATGATTGCCAGACATGCGCACCAGCTAGACAAGGACCACCAGGACCACCAGGACCAATGGGACAACCAGGACAGCCAGGAGCACCAGGACAAGCTGACACTTCTTCCTCTGTCGGACCACCAGGGCCACCAGGGCCAGGAGGACCACCTGGACAAGATGGGCATCCAGGAGAGGCTGGAGCACCAGGAGCACCAGGACAAGTTGTTCAAGGACCAGGAAGCGTTGGACCACCAGGACCACCAGGACCAGTCGGACCAGCTGGACCAGACGGGCAACCAGGACATGGATCAGGAGGTCAGCCAGGACCACAGGGACCACCTGGAGATGATGGACAACCAGGACAGCCAGGAGCCGCTGGACAGAATGGGCCACCAGGAAAGGATGGAGGTTCCGGAGGACAAGGAGCATGCGATCATTGCCCGCCACCAAGAGTCGCTCCGGGATATTAAACCAGTTTTTGAACGAATAATAAATTTTCTATCATCTTCATACAATTTTATACACAAAATAAAAACAAAAAAGATCTCTGAGAAGTTAGGAACATTTAGCAGATTCCACACAGACACCACTTGTGCTTCTAGAGAAGCCGGAATTGCATCCACAACCGCTCCAACAAGTCTTGCAGCTCGGATTTGCAGTCTGGCCGCAGACAGCCTCACAATTGTGACATCGCGACCAGGACTCGTTGATACCGCAGGTGGTGGCTGTAATTTAGAGTCTATAGTTGTCTTAAATATACCTCTTGGACTGTCTGCGGGACACCCTGAACTCTCCAATAAGCTATAAAAACCTGCCCACTTACTATGGAAACACTGCCTGGCTTGTACACATTGTCCACTGTCCACGTCTCTCTTGTACGCACTCCGACAACTGCATCCTGGGGTGCAAACAGCTGGGGCAGTGGTTACGGTAGCATTCGAGGACAATTGGCAGGCCTGGAAACTTCGGGTTACGGTAACTAATGCTAATTTAGAGTGTTAAACCTTGTTCGGCACACCAGAACACGTCTTTTCACAAGCTGGTTTGCAAGCCACATACTCCTCGGCTCCACTGCAGGTGATAGCTGAAAACTTGGATTTTTAGAACTATGTATTTCTTTAAAGGTCTCTTACATCCAGTGGTAGTACTTGGACACTTGTTCATCAGCTCACAAACCCCGTTGATCCTTGCGTATCCTCTTATACAAGCACATCCGGATGTACATGTCGTTGAGTTCATACAAGGGGGCATTGGCACTGCACATGTGCTCTCACAGCCGGATTTGCATGGAGAGAATTCTTCGTTTTTGCCAAGACAGCGTGGAGCTTCTGGAAATTGGGTTCTTTGGATGTAAAAAAGACTAGAACTCACGATGCAAAGTGATACACTTGGCAGGCTGTCCCATGACTTGATAGCAAATGTCTCCTGGGGAGCATTGGATTCCGAGGCATTCACCGGCGGTTCCATCTGAAAAATTCAACAATTTAAGGTTAAACATTAAGCCTTACAGTACCCAATTTCGTATAACAAGTGTACGCATGACTGGTTACATTATCGAAGCACTTCATTCCGGTTGCACATGGATTATCGATACAGTATCTGCGATCTGAGAGCCTTCGGGTGCAGACTTGGGATGAGTTGAATTGAGTGGCACAGACTTGATCAGAAGTGCAGCTGGAGGATCCGCAAGCTGAAATATAAGGAAGGTAAGGAATCTTAATTTTTAAAAATTGAGTAGGAATATAGCCTAGGAATGACTAAAAAAGCCAAATCTGGTAAGAATCAATAGTTAAGCTTCTCACGTGTAGTAGGTCCCTTGGTTGTCGCCACAGGAGCTCCATGACCAGCAGTGGTAGAATTGGAAGCTGATGGAGCTCCATGACCAGCCGTTGTTGTCATTCCTGGAGCCATGGTAGCGTTTACAGAGCCATGTCCAGAAGTAGTGGTAGCACTTCCAAGGGAAATTGGTATTCCTGGAATCATTGTGACAGCCGGAGCTCCATGTCCAGCAGTTGTAGTCATTCCTGAAGCTGTTGTTCCATTCATCGGAGCCATGGTACCGTTAGCAGCTGGTGCTCCGTGGCCTGCAGTTGTGATAGCACCCAAAAGTGGTCCTAGAATGGGTAGTCCTAGCAAAGTGGTGGAATTTGCAGCAGGAGCTCCGTGGCCAGCTGTAGTTGTCATTCCAGGCAAACCCATTGTTGTCATTCCAGCAGCCGGCGCTCCATGACCTGCAGTCGTGGTAGCACCAAACAAAGCGATTGGTCCTAGAGAGGGAAGTCCAGGTAAGGTGGCGGCACTTGTTGCAGGAGCTCCATGTCCAGCAGTTTTAGTTATTCCTGGCAACCCCATTGTTGTCATTCCAGCAATTGGGGCTCCATGCCCAACTGTGGTTGTCATTCCTGGGACATTGGCGGCAGGCGCTCCGTGGCCAACAGTTGTGACTTCAGGAGCTGGAGGAGGTCCATGGCCAGCTGTAGTTGTCATTCCAGCAGCCGGACCAGCACCATGTCCAGCAGTAGTTGTCATCCCAGCTACTGGTGCTCCATGACTAGCCGTTGTAGTCATACCAACCAAACTCATATTCCCTGCATGTGGCATTGTTACATCTCCAAGCACAATTGGTGTAGCAGTTGAGTTCGTCAAAGTACCATTACCCGGATACAACACTGGAGCCGTTTGGTTCACGATCGGAACGATTGTAGGCATTGTGCCAAAAGTGAAATTTGACCGAGCTGCAGTTGGCATGGGTGCCAGTGTAGCCGGGTGTTCGGAATTCAAATTCATCTGGGTATGGTTTCCAGGAGAGGATGCGGTTGTCATAGACGGTAGGTTCGTGAGAGTCACATTTCCAAATGGTGAGATTGTGCCGGAGGATTTTGGAGTAGTTGGAGCATCAATAATGGGCTCTAAATATTCGTATCATGAATTCTAGAAAAAAAAAAAAGGTCTTACCAAGTCCATGAACATTTTGGATAATTAGAAATAGAAAAATAAGAGAAATGGAGAGGTACCGTAACCCTGGACATGTATTCGTCGGAAACATTTGTGTGTCATCTATGACATCAAACTTTGTTATTTTATACGGGATATAGAACTAAGCCAGTTTAGGGGATGGTCTCGCCGGGTGAAAACAATGGGGATTTTGGGATTTTCGAGGGTGAGGTAAGGGGGGGGGGGGTTGATGAGGTAAGAGACAAAAGATTAATATGTACTTTGTTTTGATGAAATTCAAAACAAAGTGCGACGAATTTTCAGGCCGAGATTGAAGGTCAACAACATGGTATTGAATAAGTTCTAAGTTGTTGCTGAGACAAGGTCCTTTCTTACGGAGGGATTTTTCTTACTTTAGCGAGCACTTTCCCCAGTGAGAATCTTTCTTAATAAGGATTTTTCTTAGTAAGGATCTTTCTTAGTGAGGATCTTTCTTGGTGAGGATTTTTCTTAGTGAGAATTTTTTTGGTGAAAATGTTTCTCAGTGAGGAATTTTTCTTAGTAAGGATATTTCTTAGTAAGGATCTTTCCTAGTGAGGATATTTCCTAGTAAGGGTTTTCTTAGTGAGGAATTTTCTTAGTAAGAATTTTTCTTAGTAAGGATCTTTCTTAGTGAGATTTTTTCAGTGAAAATGTTTCTCAGTGAAGAATTTTCTTAGTAAGGATATTTCTTAGTACGATTTTTTCTTAGTAAGGATCTTTCGGGGGTACGACGAATTCGAACGTTTTCAAACAGACCTAAAGTCGAACTGATTCAAATCAGAACAGTGTCTTTCTCGAACAAGTATCAAAACAGAACAAGGACAAAATCGAACTGTTCTAATTCGAACTGTGCACTGTCGAACTGTCCCAAATTGGAACGCTGTTAGCCACCGAGCGCGCTTGCATTATTTTTCTTTTCTCATTGTATTCTTCGCAAATATTGAATTTATCCAGAA